GTAATCCATTATTCCTTCTGATAAGTTTTGGATCTGTAAACTCCTTAGAACTATCTCCTTTTATTAAAATGAACAAGAGAATCCAAGAATTACAAAGTATGATCTCGATCACATATGATCTTGATCCTGAATCACATACGATTGAGAGAATGCTTATACGCAGTTCTGTTACAATATAATTCTTCGATAATCCTAACAACTCTCTCTCCTTCTATTTATACTCTCGTCCCTTATTCACTTACGAGCTCATCTGTCCAGCTCAGCTTCCACGTCATCTTTGACTAATTGACTCGGTTCTTTGTCTCCCACCTTCTTCTTTCTTTTTCTATATTAAGCTTGATGAAGCTTATCAATACTTCCCCATTAAGAAAACTTGCCCTTAAGCTTGTAGGTTGAAAAATGCTGAGTTAAGTCCGTAAACAAGGCCAAGAGTTGACATGATCCTGAAAGCCTCTCCACTAGACAAGCAATTCAATATCGCATGTGGTCTTTAGCTTGATGCCAAGATCACTTTTGTTTGAGGATTTTATTCTCAAAATTTGGCTGCTAACTTGTGCCATAATCTGAATCTATAATAGCATCTCATCACGTTTCTTTAACGCTTCTTCCACCTTTGTACCCACTTTCTTCGCTCTTTGGAAAAGTTGGTGACGTGAGGTTTGGATCAGCCACCGTTTCAAGCTAATGATCTGCAGTTTCCTCTTTCTCCAACAATGCCACACCAAAAAATAGATTTGTGCTTTCATCACTGTTTTCAAGGCAAGTCTCATAGTTGATAATGCTTCAAACTCCTTAATCATCCAATGATGCCACACATGAGAAGCAGTGTGTATAGTCCAAAGTTCAACACAGTAAGATGGCCTTTGATGCTACAAGTCTCGATATGGGCATCCTTCACATGAGGTGATGAAGATATTGGCTCAGATAATTCCAATGTGAAAGTTGCAGGTTTAGTGTTCTGCAGAAACTAAAACACCTCAACAGCATCTTTGTTCACACTTGCAGACTTGTAGAGAACATCAAACACATCTATAAGTAATAACGCCTGGAACTTTGTAAGCGTCAACTCTTTATAGAATTCCTCCATCTGAATTCTGAATGCATCTCTACCCTTCAGTTATCTTTCCTTGTGACACCAGCTTCACACATATGAATATCCAACCCATTTCGGCCCTTATTAACATGATTATTTAGTGGTTAAAGCTTCATAAACGCCCAATCTGACACTGTTTGTAGCTGCTTAAATCTCACATTGGTATGTGCAGGATCTTGAAAAAAAGATTGGAACAACCGCATAATCACAGCTCTATCAAGTACTAGTAACAAAAATATCTGTATAATCCCATATGGCTGTAAAAAACTGAGAAGCAGCAATCCATGTTTCTAAAATTCTTTGTGTTTCTAACAATGCCATGCATCAAGATGATATGCCCTGTACCAATTGGATGACAACACTCCAGGTTTGTTTCGGGTTTTCTCGCTTCTCTCCGACCTGATTCGATATGTACATCTCCAAGAACACAACGATGATTCTTTCAACCCAATACGAGCTTCGGATCCAGTAGCAGCAGTTCCTGTGTTGCTCACTCTCTGCTTCTGCATCAAATGTTGTAGCGTAAGCCCAAGCTCTGTTCGATATTTGAATTTAAACATCCAGCACTTAGGAGATAAACCCAATTTCCTCATGTGAGCTAGTCGTTGTTTGTGATATGATCCTTGTTTTTAAACGCTTTCAAGTCTTTCTTTAAATTTATCTCTTGATCATAGGCTTTGAATAGACTTAGATGGTGTAACTAGAGAACTCAGTTCAGTATATGTTACAATCTCCAACAACTTTTCTTCCTCGGTGAATTTTCTCTGAAATTTCCACAACCTAATCCTCCTTATTGTGCAGAACATACTTGACATATGAGGCTGCCCTCTCCTTCCCAAGGGATTAAGTTTTCTCTTTGCTATAAAACACTTCCTCTGTTTGTGCAGCCAATGTTCAGTTGGCCTTGTTGCTGAGTGTACAAAATATCTCCGTTGAGTTTGGTTTTTGAACTTGAGTCTCCACGATTTAAGGCACTTTCTTCATTACTTTTTACTTGTTACTCTGGGAATTGTATGTGCAACTAGTTGGTGATCATGAGAGGGCTGCAATGTACCAATGGAAACCTGTGATTTCATCACGTTTTCTGCATCTTCAATCACATTAATGAGCATATATGGCAGTGAATTTCCCTTCTCCGATGGAATCAGATTGGTATAGTCGCATGGCTGCATCACAATCGACAAACTATCATTCAATTTCTCATGGCATTCTTCTACAATTGGTGGTTCTGGATTCTGCACCACTTGTGTAGCATGAATAACGTCTCTGATTAATTCTTGAAATGCTTCTGAAGCAGGTTCTGGTGGAGAGAAATTCGTTTATGTCTCAGACCCAACTTCGCTGCTTGATTCTGCAAACCTCAAAATCAACTTTTCTTTGAAGCCAGTCCAATCTCGAAAAGTTTTCCTCTTCCATTCCCAAGCAAACCACTTTTTAACTCTTCCTTCCACACTCACAATAACCATTTCTAATATCTCATCATCATCATATCCATCTTTGTGAAGAATCTTTCCACATTCTCAATCCAACAAACTGGATTCTTTCCATCAAACAGAGGCATTTCGGTTTCTAGTATCACACTATCGTGATTTCTCACATTCAAAACACCAAGTCGATAACCTAGCGGAGAATCAATCCTGTTTTGTTCCCAAGTTTCAGAGTTTACCTGAAATTGAGTTTGAGAAGATTTTGGTATGATTTGAGTTCGAGGATCTACACCACTTTCTTGTCAATCGAAATTCTGTAACATCGCCCTCACTCTTGTAAGCTTCTCATCCATGGCGGACAAGCGAGCTTCTGCCTTCAACCGTCGATTCGCACAGCCAGAAGCCACAGTTGGAAAAAAACATCAATTTCATCGAGAGAATTGATCGGAGATTCAAGCTTTGCAATCGTCGCGCTTCGTCGTCGATCCGGTTTCAATGTAACCTCTGTTGCCATCATCGCGTTAGATCACCCAGTTTCACCGCACCAATGATAAGTTTTGGATCTGTAAACTCCTTAGAACTATCTCCTTTTATTGAATTGAACAAGAGAATCCAAGAATTATAAAGTATGATCTCGATCACATATGATCTTGATCCTCAATCATATACGATTGAGAGAATGCACATACGCAGTTCTGTTACAATATAATTCTTCAAAAATCCTAACAACTCTCTCTCCTTCTATTTATACTCTCATTCGAGTCCCTTATTCACTTATGAGCTCCTCTATCCAGCTCAGCTTCCACGTCATCTTTGACTAATTGACTTGGTTCTTTGTCTCCCATATTCTTCTCCACTTTTTCTATATTAAGCTTGATGAATCTTATCACCTTCATCCTCCCAAAGTTCACAATCTAGCTTTGTTTGCCTGGTGCAGTGACAAACAAATAATCAGGTGGAGCAAATAAAAATTAATTATATAGGACAAGAATCAAGCTAGAACCAGAGAAAACTGACTTGACGAGGTGGTGCCTAGCCAAGGAGTCGACGTAGAAATGAAAATCAAGGTCTATATCCTTCAATATGGTTTTGTCTCTCACTTTGATCTTCTTGTTAGTTCGACCTTGTGATGAACCCTTTAGATCACAGACCTTGTTCATAAAGACATTTGACTGCAGTATGTTTGACATGACGATAAAATATGTCTGCTCACAACAACAAAAATAAAAGAAAGAAACAAGTGTTCATCTTAAGCAAATATGTGTAGCCCGAATAAGCATCATATAGTCTTCTTATATACCTTAACACCTCCAATAGGTTTCACATAATGAGCTCCATAATTCTTGGACAACAACGTTGACCTGTATTTACGGATATGTCGGTAGTATCCAGGCAACATCTCTAGTATTACCTACATGATGATAGAAGTGAAATGAGATCCCTCAAAGATCAACATTTTGTTTGTCAGCAATTCGTAAAGTCTACCTTGATTTTGGATTTCCGGAGAATCTTAATGAGAAAGCGGTCATCTTTGGAGAGAAGAAACATATTCCCAACTTTCCCTGAAGAAAGCTTCCTTAAGGTCTCATCATTACAGATGGCTTTCATGTATTCATCATGATTAATATCCTCAAGCTCTTTCACAAGTCTGCAGCAACCACAATGAAAATATGTTGCTCCCTCTGCCATTAGAAATGATGAGATAGAGAAAAAGATGAAAGATTATCCTCACACAATCCACCTGTGAACCAAGTTTGATGTAAAATAAATCACAAAATCAAAGATATCATTAATGTTAAAATGAAGAAATAGTTGTGCTTACCTCTGAATAAAAAACTCGAAAGCCATTGATGTCCACTGTTCCATCGCCGTTCCATATTGATACGGTTTGAGTTTCTCGTGATACAGAGAAGCTTTGCTTGCAGATTCGGGATCCGGAAAGGGAGTTTTGTGTTTTGAGTATGTTTCTTCCTGTAACTGAAATTTATATCAAAGAAGATGCATGCACCTCAATTAAACGTGAGCTAATCGTAACTTGATAATACATTTGTCATCATAATCAAATACCTTATGAATATTAATGGCGTCACACGTCAAGCTACTTGTTTGGAAAATGACTATATTCTCTGTTCAAACACCCCCAAAATATTTACTTATTTGCAAAAATTTGGAAAATTCTGAAAAGTTTTAAGAGGACAATCACTTTGGAACCAAAACAAAAATGAACAAACCAGAACACCAAGCATAACCAAAAGTGCAACTCAGCCTAAGAACTCAAGTACTGATGAAGCGGGAGAGGATACAATCCATCAAGAAACAAATTGCAATAAGAAACATAGGGAGACCTTATAACAGCAAAACAGGTCTCTTCATCGTCCCCAAGTCTAAGAGGACTCTGTTACAAGACTAAGATGCAAACATATAAACATGAACACCAATTAGATCCAAACTCTTAACTGCCTAGTCATCAAGAAACATCATCATCTTAAAAACTCAAGAAGAGTATTCATGTCTGAGCACTTATTCTTCAAGTCCTTCAACTCTTCCTCAATTCCTTGCATCCGAGTCTCACCAGCCTCTTTGAGTTTCTTCACCAACCAATCTAACTTCAAACCTGCTTTTGTCACATATCTCAGAGCAGAACATGCGTCGGCCAGATCACCATTGGAGAGTTCTTCAGAGGACTTGCACAGAATCTCAGTCAGGCTTAGTAGGATATTCAAGCAAGCTGTTCTCAGATGTGGGTTCTTTGGACAGACCCACAAAACATACATATATACGTACATCTTAGTATTTATATCAAGGAGCTGAACTATAGGTTGCGGTCTTCCAATCTGTTTTTTTTAATAAAAAAAATATTTTCCATTTTTTATGTATTTAAAAGTATTTTCTTACTTTATGAAGGAAGAACTTGAAACCCATTGACATCAATAGTTTCCACTAGAGATGAAACTTCCTCTTAACACATGTGAGTTTCCAATAACTTCAAATTCTCCACCTCGGCAACAATTTTACCAGAAATCCACCATATTTGGCATGAAGTTTGGTAAGGTTAAGCATTGCTAACAAAACCCCAGGCGAGGGTATTCTGATCATACAACTCTTGTGCTTCTGTAAAACTACAAAACAAATGTATATAGAGGCACTAATCTAGTCCAGCCACCCTAACTTAAATCCAGCAGATCCCAGTGCATCTACAAGATCATCCTTGGAGAGATTTTCAGCAGATCCCAGTCTTCTTCCTTTTCATTAAACCAATGTTGTGTTTCTGAATAATCAGGAAAAAAAGATTTCATTTACTCCTGAATAAGTCATCAGGCGTGACATAGCTATACTCCAGTGGATTAAACCTCAACCTATAGACAGAATCTCACAGTAGCCAAAGTCCTACAACATTTATATATATATATATATATATATAACCACATGCAATACTAACTTTCTGGTTGTCCGCCTTATAATAGAATCATAACGTGGCGAGAGTATAATCACCTCGCATTTTGGTGAATATATTCGCAATTTGATTTACTATAGTAATCGATACTTTTGCGTGTCTTCTCCATCCCAAAAGAAGAGTTTTAGAATCAGCAACTTTCAGATACAGAGACAAATCGTCATGCTTATCTTCATTTTTCTTGGCTTTAAAACGCCTACAATCAAAACACAAAGAAAACAGTGGATGTCCAAATATTTAATACCTAAATCGGATGAATTAAAAGAGTAGAAAGGAATATCCAGTATATTTAATACATAAATAAGTTATCGGAAATCAAAGAGTAGAAAGGAACATCCAGTAAAAATTTACCTCTGAAAAAAGGGGGAATTGCTGAATATGACTCGAAACTTGAGTTGAAATGCAAAACTAGACCCCTTATTGCATGTTTGACAAAAATAACTCACAGAGGTAGTGAAATTACAACTTTAACCCTTATGACCAAACAAAAAATGCCAATCTCAATTACTATTTTATCCCAGAGAAGTCTACTCGAGAAATTAAGTAGACTTCTCGAGTAGACTTCTTGGAGAAGTCTACTCTCTAATAATATGTTTACAATTAATTTTAAAAATCATAAAAAATAATTTGATAAAAAAATTAGATACATAACAACAAATATATATATTTTTACACCTATTAAAAATAAAATTTGACAGAAAATAATCAATTTAAATCATCATAGATAAATTAGGATAAAAATAAATACTAAGAGACTTCTCGAGTAGACTTCTCGAGTAGACTTCTTGGAGAAGTCTACTTAAACGAATTTTTTTCTGCATATATAAGGAGAGTATAACCTAATTGTATTAACAATAAATTTTCTCTCTATCTAAAAAACGCCTCTCTCTCTTCTCCCTTCTCTCTAGCCATGAATTTCTTCTCCTTCCTCTCTTGCTATCAATATCCTCTCTATCCTCTCTATCTTGCATTCAACCACCTCTTACTTGCAGGTTATGGTAGTGGTAAGCAAATCTGAGCTTTTGTGTTCCTCTTTTTGTTTGCTTTGTGTTCATATTGCAAATCTGAGCTTATTATTATAGATTTGAGCTTATTGTTGTAGATCTAAGTTTATTTTTAAAGATCTGAGTTTATTGTTGTATAAATTTTGTAAATTTTGTTGTAGATCTGATTTTTGTTGGTGGTTTAGGAGGTTTTCTTCTCCTCCTTCTGATATTCTGATGGTGGTGGCGTCGTTCTTCGAATCCGGAATCTAGTCTCGAGTTAGAGATTCAGCCTCTTTTGGCCTCTCTCTAGCCGCCTGCTCTTTCTTTGGCTCTCAGCCTCTTTTACACACCTTCTCACTCGTCCTGTCTCATCCATGCGGTGCGCCGCGGGAGCAAACGATTTAGTACAATACGCCTGACTCATTAAGCAAGCCACCTATCAGGAAATAGTCCATTAAGGAGTTGATGACAGGTCTACTAGGAGAAAGGCAGCACTTTAGTGGGATCCGGTGTCCACGCGTCACTCGATATTGGTCGTAGTAAAAGTGGATCCAATTTATTTAATTTTATAATTTATTTAATTTAAATTTAATCAATCAAAACATTTTGTTTATTTTAGAGAATTTGTCATGTTACATTTTCAGCTTATCATTATAATGCATTAACTTTTGGTCTCCTTCTAACATATCAGATTTTTTTCACTTAACATGTTTATCAAATAATATTTAAGATATATTAATTAGTTTTTTATAAATAATATTTGATAGAAATTTAAATAAAATAAAGAAGAAATAAAAAAAATTTGTGCCACTGTAAAACGTAAAATGTGGAATGCATGTTTGCAACTATCACTAAGTCTTTGACTAATTTAATGAAAATATATTGGATACAATTTAATTAGAATGTTTTTAATGATTTAAAGATATATATAAGGGTAATCATTAAGTAATTATATTAACAGAAAATAAAAACTGAACATTTGTTCAAAAAAAAACTATAATTGAAATCAAATTTTATTTTAAAACTAGATTAGAATCCGCATATATGCTGGTTTGAAAATCGTTTTAAAACTAGTAAAAGATAAATTGAAAAGAAAATTTAGCTTTAATTATTTTTAATAATAGTGATATTTTTTAAAATTTATATTTTATGTTTAATCTAATCGGAACGCGTGTCAAATTTTTAATCGAAAAACTTGACTTGTGTCGCGATCATGTGTCTAACTAATATTGACGCATCCAATTTACTATAATAAAATGTGAATAAGATTTTTTTCTTTTAGGATTACTATTTACTTTTTTGTTAAAAACATTTTTTTCTTATCGTATAAGTGTGTTTATAATAACCTATTTTAAAATATGTAAAACAAATTTTAAAAAATTATAAACAACAAAATTGAATTACTTGTAAAAATAACATATGTTTCTAATTTAAAATTTTACTAGTGGCTTTCTCTTTCAGTCTGCTTTCACAATTCTGATTGTTTTTTATTGATTCATAGTTTCTCATCTTATCCATTTAGTTCAAGTTTAAGAGAAAATCCAGTCTTGTAAATTTATAAGAGATTTTATGTGTTTATAAAGAAGTGAGTAATATTTGTTTTCTTTAGGATTAATCCATACTTTTTTAAAAACAATTACTTAGAATTGATTGAAATATATAATTTTTTTTTAAAAAATTATTTCTTTTTCTTTTAGATGGTGTTGTGGGTATAATTTGTATTTCTTATTTTTTTAATAATACTGATATTTCTTAAATTTATAATTTATTCGTGATACGTGTCAAAATTTTAATCAAAAAACTTGACACGTGTCTCGATCATGTGAATTACTAATTTTAATGTATCCAAGTTTATATAATCAAAACATAAATTAAAAACACAAGATCAAAATCTAGAGTTATATATCTTAATTCTCAATTGTTTTCAGTTAAAATATTCAAAACACAGAATTTTTTGCGGGTCCTAAGCAACAATAATCATACTTTTCTTGTAATTCAACATTTTATCAACTATTTTTTCTGTTTTGCTGCGTTTAAAACTTGGATATGCGATTTGAGACCTTTGAATATGTTAACTCTCTCCAAACAAACAAAATTTATCTTTCTCTTTCTCTTTACATTCATGTCCTGTATATTATCTTTCTCCTTTCTAGAGATGTTATTCTTCTGAAAACTCTCATCAAAAGTTTTTCTACATAATTTTCGCTAATCTTTCTCCTCATTGCATCATGGTGCAATGCCATATCATAAACATCTACGATTGTCTTTTCTAATAATTCTAATTGCAAATATTACATGTAATTATTTTTGAAATTATCTAATTATTGAATACGGACAATACTTTAGATGAATACAATATTCAGAAAACAAATCATATAAGATAATATTTTTAAATACCAAACTAATCGTAATGGATAAAAAAAATTGGAATAACATATAAATTTTTTTAATAATAACAAAATAAAAAGAAAAATTATACCTGTAGAATGAAGCATAAGAAATATTATTTTGTTTGGTGAAAAATTATAAGAGACTTTTTGTTTTTATATATATGTATGTAGTATTTTTTTCATTCTTTTAATATTAGTGTTTTAGCCTATTTCCTTTTCTAAATTAAAATATTTCTTTTTATTAACTTTTGTTTTTATTTTCTTTTTTAAATAGTATTTTTATTTTCTTTTAAAATTTTAGATTATTTTTCTTTTCCAAATGGAGATATATCCTTTTATTTATCTTTTTTTAAATAAAAAAAATAATTAAGACACATGTCAAAATCTAAATCAGAAGACTTGCCACATGTCACACTCATATGAATTACTAACTTTGATGCATTTGATTTTATAATAAGATTTTTTCAACCAAATTAATAAAATCTTTAAATTTATATATTCTACTTTTTAAAATATAAATTATGAATATTTAGTTGACAATAACTAATCTTTATTTTTACTATTCTTTCTTCTTTGTTATCTGATCTTTACATTTTATTTATTTTATTTTATCAAAATATATAATTATATAATTATAAATATGATATTAATAATTTTATAATCATCAAATAACTAAAATTGTATTTAAACTATAATCGTATTTAAACTATAATCATACTAACCGTAATCGTTTTAATTGTATATTAAATGGTTAAGATTACGATTAAAATATTCATATCTGTAACCGGTGATTTAGGGCATGACTGGTTTAGCCGTTACCACCCTCAAACGCAGCGTTTATGGGTGGTAGCAATTGATAGCGTTTGACAACAATCACAGAAAACGATTTCAACCGCTTTGTACCACTTTTTTTTAATCAAAATCAAAAGTTGCTTTCCACTAGCGTTTGCGATTACGGTTGGACAATTAAAAAATATAATATTTTTTAAAAAAATACAAAAATGATTTAAAATCAAAATATATAACACTTTTTCTTAAAATAAATTTTAAATATTATAATTACAAAATATATAAATAAATTTGATAATTTTGGAAGTAATATTAATTAAGTATTTTTGTGTTCTAAAATTTATATTCATTAATTATGAATGATAATTTTATATTTATAAGATCTTTAAACAAAAAGAATTTACGTAAATTTTGTTTCTATTACTAATAATTTTATATATCTAATAACTATAATTATTTTAATATAATTTTAATATTCAAAAAATTATAGTTTTATCTAAACTAAAAAATAAGAAATAAACATAAATATTATGTATATAATATTTATTATGATTTTTAGTATTAATTATATTGATTTATAATTATAGATTTTTAATAATAATATATTGTTGTTACTTTTTAATTTTATAATATATTTATATAGTTATTTTGTTGTGTAATTGTTTTTGCATCTGTTAGTCAACGAGTCAAAAATATACCGTAAATATACTCGTTATTAATTACTATACTAATCATACAAACTGCTGGTTAACACTGTAAACTGCACCCGCTCACTTCGGCAAACTCTCACACCCGCAACTGCTGTATTGCGTTTAAATGAACCCCGGTAACTGTAATTGTGGTGAAGGAGTTTTAGGAAAAAAATTATGACGTTACTCTTTTAGTGCTTGGAATCTGCGTTTTCTAGGTAAGAAACAAAATCTATTCACAGAAATGTTGACTTCTGGATGAGAACCAGGGACGAAGGGAGAGAGGTGCACCTGCTGACCTGCACCCATTGTTTTTAAAAATTTTAGTATAACTTTTAACTAATTTTGATTGTGCATCCACTAAATTTTGATATTTTGCCCCCATTCTTCCATAAATCTGAACTATAATCTCAATAAGGTAATCTCCATGATCTTGCTTAGGTTTCTCAACTTAACCATTAAGGGACAAGAGATCAATGTTGTGATCAGCTTGGGTCTTAAATAAACTATAATCTAAGAGCTAAAGGGTGAAAATGCAATGTAGGATCAAACATTATTTTGCTTTCTCAAGTAAAACGTGTAACATAATTAAAGTAATGTATTCAGCAAAACAAAAAAAACTAAACTAATGTAAATGATAACAAAGTGATAAAGCGCTCACACGAAACTTGTAGATGAAAGAAGTCACAATAACAGCCAAACTTGTTAGACTATTGTTATATATGTTATATAAACTTGTGATCCACGACATAGTCTACAAAGGTGTGAACTCTTCTACGATTACCAGAGGATGTTAAACCTTGGATTTCAACTGTTTTGAGAGTGTTCCTTTCGGGATTGAAGTAGAAGCATAAAACGGTTTAAATGTAAAGTCCATCGCAATAACAATTTCACCTGCAGAAGTCACTCCAACCACAGCGACGACAGCTTTTGGATCCTCACAGACTAATTCCAAGGAGAAAGTGTGTTTGGACCATTCTTGTTTCTCAGCATCCTCAAGAACCCACAAACACAACTTTACGTCGTGCCTTCCAACAAAGTACTGATGAATAAAATGATCCCGTTCGGAGCTAATCACACCTAGTTTACTTTTGTAATTTACCAGTTTAGTAGACGGTGGCCAAGAATGAATGGATGAAGGAATGGGTACGAACCAAAGTCTCTCAGACCTAACATCAAAGCAAGCTAGCATCGTCACATTAGGGTTTTCATAACATGTGCGAGCTAAGTAATACACAACCCCATTCATGCATCTCCCTTTAGATATACGATAATGGAATCGACCATCAACCTTCCTCCACGACAGTTTTCCTGTTCCTAACGTTAAAATTTGATTCTTCTCATTATCATTAAAATCGATTGAAACGTATATCAATCGGATCATATCCTAAAAGGCATTTCGGGTCCTTCATCTTCGGTTCGGGTAAGCTCGTGTATTGTCCCGTGCTAGGGTTATATATTACCGGGACTGCATATTCATCTTTGAGATACGTATGTTTGGGAAATAGATCAGACCAGAGACAGGGCCACAGATTCCTGAGCACATGTCTCCAGGGGATTCCATATGAAAATCGGCTGTTACAAGGGAAGAGCTTTCATCTGGATTCTGAGGCTGAGGCGACCAGTAGAATCGCCACTTACAGTACACTTGTTGGAGGGCGAATAAGAGACGCGGCCAGGAACAACTCGGTGAAACCTGGACGGCTAACTATGGAAGCGCACAACTTGGATGTGAGACTTAGCCGACGATCTCGAGAGTATCTCGTCAGTGTCAAGAGGCAGGTGTTGATTTTCAGAGTTTGGTTTTTAAATCTAGAAAAGCACAAAAAATTGAGGATGTAGTTGCAATTTGGTTAATTCAGTCTCATATGTGATCCTCTTTTTTAGTAATTACAGCCTCTCTATGCTTTGCTTAATTCTTTCGAACACGACGCATCATCAAACAATTGTAAATTTCACATATTGACAATCAGATATCTAGAAAGAGTTATGGTTTAGAATTTAAAATCGGATCGGTTTAATTAAAGTAAGTTATCAAACTCTAATTACTTAAGTGTGTGGATTACACTACAGCTACAACTTTATTCTTTCTTAATTTTTTTGCACACGATCAAAACGAAAATTTCAAACTTGATAATTGATAAACCGGATAGGTTTAATTGAAATATTCAAATTATTTTGGGTTTTAAAAATAAAGTAAACACAAAAAATAATCAATCAATCAGAGCATTCGTCGTCTAATCATCATCATCTCCCATATTCTAGAGAGAAAGAGTAGAGTCGAGGAGAGGAAGCTTTAAGGTAGCTTCTTCCGTAAACCCTCGCCGTGAATTTGAACCGGGAACTTCTTGATTCTCGAGAGATGAGAGCTCCGGGTGAAAGCGAAGACGCCGTCGTGATCGAAAAGGCGAAGAAGGCCGGAGAGGCGCATGTTATCACCGTGAATTGTCCTGACAGGACCGGTTTAGGGTGTGACATTTGCAGAATCATCCTCGATTTCTGGCTTTATATCGTAAAAGGAGGTAAGATCCTTCCAGAAATGAGTCGATAATCTTTGAATCGCTTAGGAATTTGCTTACAATCCTTGATTTTTAGTCTTGAGGTTTCAGCTTGTGCAATGGTCGAGAGAAGCGAATCTGATTGTTCGTTTTCGTTTTGGTGCATAGATGTTACAACCGATGGAGTATGGTGCTACATAGTTTTGTGGGTGGTTCCTCATTATGAATCTCTGATATTGAGATGGTCACATTTGAAGAACCAGCTTGTATCTGTATGCCCACCTTGCTCCACCTACTTCCTTCTCAATTTGATGTCTCCTTGACTCCTTGTCCTGCATCATCACCACCTGTTTACTTGCTGAAATTCTTCTGCCTAGACCGGAGAGGACTCTTACACGGTACTTATCGTCTCATGGGTTTTTGATTTCTCTTATGAATGTCAATTCTCGAATGTGTGAGGAAGAAATCTGTTTGCAAATGTTACTCAAGTACTAATTGAGCTTGAGCTCTCAATTCAAACCGTGAAGGTCACTACTACACCGGATGAGAGAGTTTTGGATCTTTTCTTCATAACAGATAACATTTGAGTGAGTGTGTTAGACAATCTGCTCTTAAGTCTTTTGAATCTAGCGTGAATGATGATGATTCCTAGTATTCTTTTTCCGCTAGGGATCTCTTACACACGAAAAAGCGCCAAGACGAGACATTAGAGGAGTTTCTTTCTGTCTTAGGAGAATCATGTATAAGCTGTGAGCTCGAGTTGGCTGGTCCTGAGTTTGAATGTCATCAGAATATTCCATCTCTTTCTCCAGCAGTAGCTCAAGAGTTGTTTACGCAGCACACCGATGAAGATAGTCGCGCACAGGTTCTTACCGATGATATGATAAAGCTGAAGAATTCCACAAATGTCACACTTGACAACTCTTTAAGCCCGGCTCACACATTACTCCAGATACGCTGCGTTGATCACAGAGGCCTTCTCTACGATGTATTACGAACCTTGAAAGATTTTGACATTAAGGTAATGGCATATTTTGTCAGAATTCAAGATATTGTACACGGGCTTTCTTTGTGACATCTCTGTTTCTGCAGATATCGTATGACAGGTTCTTGCCTCAAACACAGGGTCATAGGGATCTAGAGCTATTTGTTCAGCTGAAAGATGAGAAGAAGATCTTGGATCCTGATAAACAGAACTCGTTATCTTCACGTCTGAAAACTGAAATGCTTCATCCTTTACGGGTCATAATAGCAAACAGAGGACCAGACACTGAGCTTTTGGTTGAGCTATCCGGTAAAGGCAGGCCGAGAGTGTTTTATGGCGTTACCCTTTCGCTAAAAGTGCTTGGGATCTGCGTTTTCGCGGTAAGAGAACAAAAACTATTCACAGAAATGTTTCAGAATCAGGTGAGATTCTGACTGTGTTGTCTTTTCGATTCTTTATCTTCTAAAGCAGATTGTCTAACACACTCACTCACAATGTTCGTCTCACTTTATTAGCAATCTCATTCCATCAATATTCACATGGTTTTGGAAAACCCACAATTGTTATAGAGACGGTAGTTTTATATGATCTCTGGATATAGTACGCGTTTTTTGGACCTCCATATACCTTAGACGATATCAATGTTCTTGATCGCTTATCCATTTTTGATGATATAATAAAAGGTCAAACTCCGCAAGTGAATTTCTCTGTCAACAGAATGGAGTATCATTTGGCTTACTATCTCACAAATAGTATTTATCCGAAATAGACAACTTTTATCCAATCTATTTTAATTTCACAGGGCTTGAAAACATCTTTATTTTCTTAACATCAAAAAGCTATCCGAAAAGATGTTGAGCATGCTTTTGGAGTCTTGCAAGCTCAATTTGTCATTGTTAAAAACTCAACTCTTTTTTGGAATAAAACAAAAATAGGAAAGATTATGAGAACATGTATGAAGACCTCATCCAAATCGTCATGTAGGGCTGTGAATAACGTTGTGTCATTATCACACGTGATTGTTATAAGCTATGCATTTCTCCAGTATGCGCCAAACATCCATTAAGGTCATTGGAAAGTTAACTTGATATCATCATTGTTAGCAAGCTCATTTTTTTTTAACTCTTTCTCAAAAGTGACTTCTATGTCTTATTTTCACCTAATAGCAAACCCCTTGTTCTAAGATATGTTTCCATACACCGTTGTCCCTTGCAACATGTAAAATATTGCAGCCATAACTTGTTAGCACCAGTATGTGGACCATCCTTTACGAACAAAAGTCTAGCTTTTCATCTCAAATCTATAAAAAGAAAATGCAGTCTTTGGTGTTACTATCATTTTTCTTTTGTCAACAGCGTTACTATCATTTAAAAGTTCGATACTATGTATTTTCTAATGATATAATCTCTTATAAATAATTTAGTAAAGATTCTCTTCTAGTTGGCCAAGCAAAATCTTCTATATTTGGAAACATTTAATGCCAGCTACTCACACAAATTCTCTCTTCCATTTTGCCTCTTATTTTTTTTACAAACAATAGGGATAGTTTAGTCTATAAATATATAAAATGAAAGGAGAGATTTAATATCAAAATCATTACACTCATATTCTGAATATACTGGTTATCTATGTATTTACAGCTAACTCACTCAATTTTAATTCAGCATTATGTAATTTGAGCTTATTTTTAGTTTTGGTGGACTGTGTTCATATTTATGCAAAATCTGTTGGATTATATATTTTTATGGGTGATAATGGTAGATGGTCTTAGATAAGTTGAAAATAAAGAAAACGGCAACAATAATTGGAAATAAGCTGGGAAAAGTGACATTTGTATATAACGTCATACTAGGTGGTTGGCCCGTACGTATGTGCGGGTATAATATTTTTGATATACATAGTTAAAGCATTAGTATGTTTGTATATATATATATATATTATTTTAGTATTTCATAACTTATTTCTGGAAAAAACTTTTATTTTTATGAAATTTGTAATAATATATAATCAAAAATATAAAGGTTATATTAAATAATAATTAAATTCTTTATAATATTTTTTTAAATATTATTTATAATATGTTTTATTTTACCTAACACAATCTACAATAATTTTTTACATCTTACATAATATGAATTTGAAATATGTATATAATATATTTTTAAGTATATATTATTTTTTTTATTTATTGCAAATTAAACTGAAATAAGTTTTACTATTTTTACTTATCCTAAGAGCGGATAGATAGTTGACATGCATGTGTGGGGGTACCAACCGCCTCACTACGTTTAGAATAGATAAAGATTTTTTTTAAGATAAATTGTACTATAAAAAATTAAAGTATAAATTAGACTGTAATCAAGCTTAACAAATACTAACATGCACGAAAAAGTTCATATGACTTCTACTAATGCACAAATAATATTTATGTCTGTATGCGTATTGTAAAAAAGTCGAAATATGGCTCCTACATGTTAAAAAGTTTTTAAGTGACTTTGTAAAACAAAGTGCAAGAGATTTATTTTTATACACTTCTATTTTTAATTCTTATTCATATTTATTTTATTTTATTTTAATTTATTATTTCATTCGGTTATTTTTATTTTATTTATGATCTCAAAATTTTGATATACAATAAAAAAATTACGAATATATATATATATATATGAATATGATACTTTTTTTTTATTTAAAATATGATAAGAGATAAGATGAGATGGTAACATAATTTATGTATATTTTAGAAAACAATAATAAAAATGTGATAAAAGTTTTATAAAAATATATGGTCCCATTAATATTATAAAATAATAATTAGTATATATTTTATTCATTTAGTAAATATTGGTTTGAAAAGAAAATTTATTTTAAATTACGTTTTTTAAAAATTTTCAATAAAAGTTAATTATTTTTTATTATTTTTAACATTTTATTTTTTTAATTATTTTTATCATGATTATATTTTATTTGAAATTGTATTATTTAATAATTTGTTTATTTAATAATTTGTTTATTTAAAATTTATTTAGATGTTATTACTATATTTTGTAAATTAATAAATTTCCAAAATAAAAATATATCATAATTCAAACATTATTAATATATAAATTCTTTACTATTCTATTGGATAATTTAGTATTATTTTTCCGATTTCAGATATATATATATATATATTTTTTGTTGAAAACATTTTTTAATTATATTTTATGAAATTATATTTTAAAATCATAATAATAATTATTTTCAATTTGTTAATTTTAGTGTTATAAGTATAATCTAGTGTTTTCTGTTTTAATTCTTCAAATTCTTTATTTTAATTCAACCAATCAAAACATTTTATTTATTTTACGAAGTTTGACATGTCACATTTACATGTCATCAATTAAAAGCATTAACTTTGGCTATAGTGTTGACAAATCAGCTATTTTCAATAATGTTTTGTCAAATAATATGTAGTGGATGCACCTCCTGCCACGTGAGTGGGAATGGATACGGTGTAAAAATTACCAAATGATAAATTGATATAACAAGTTAGTCATACCACTGTTGATTCGGGGCGGATGGCGGGATCTGTTTGTACGGTGTCTACCATGGAGTCAGTGACCTGGACCTGCGTAGGCTGATCCGCTGGGTGTTCGTCTTTGATGTAAGACTGCGTGTGAATGTGTAACATCGCGTTATTCTGATAAGGTTAACATGAAAGCTATTTACTGTTTAGCTAAAAACAAATGGCTGTAACGTGTATCAATGTTGTATACGAGCGGAAGATTTTTCGCTTACAGGTGGCGGTGGTGCATTGGCTGTCGTCGTCACGATCGGTGATAGGTTCACCAAAGTGTTGCCGTCGTCAAAAGGTTTGACCTATAGAAGACAAAAAGTAAGGTCAGACTGGTACATTGAATAACGACCAGAAAGTGTAGGATAAATCCCTCACACTGCGTCATGCATCGAGCAGTGGGAAAAAATAATTTGTTTGCGTAGGGCAGATTAGGAAAACTACAATACAACAATAACTATGTACTTCTATTAGGGGTCACTGAATTGCCTCCAATTACAACGTCTAACTTGTTTATAACGAGTACTACAATATCATCCTAACACTGCAGTAATGAATAAACTACTTCAGACTAAAAAATATCTAGTTCTATGTGAAGTTGTGGTCAGTTAGCATGGACAAAAAAAAAAAACCATTTAAACAGTTAACATGACAACATTTTGGGGGATATGATTGCTGCTTCGTTGAAAAAGGACAAAAATCATGCAGTGACAGACATAAATCAGGGTAAACTACAATGACGCTAATGATGTTATACTGTTTTCCTCGACAACATATAATAGTTCGGTGGGGGTGTGACAATTGATAGCCTGTAACAGGGGATATATTACCGAGGGTGTGAACGCTGATTTTACACGGTCCTCGCTGCACGTCTCGCAGCCAAGGTCATTTCTTCCCTACAAAAATCAGAAAACGACGTCAGCAACCTAGTTTGGGCAGATCCACATTTAAAACGTTTAAGAAACCCCCAACGCAAAGAAAATGCCATGGGTCTTTCCCCTCCTACAACCTCTTCCACCGGCTCTCTCTCCAACAGCGGCTCTTCGGCAGTGGACTGCTGATCTACCGGCCCCTGGAGGTATCCCATGAGAATACAATTTGGGTTGACATACACATTAGCATCATCGATAACATACACGGGAGTGTGCGCACATATATGTTTTAGTAAATGCAACAACTGGCCTCTACTTTGTCTGCTGGTATTGAAGATTATTGTGCTGCATCGCCTGAGATTGCAGCACTAGAAGGCACAAAATGGTTCCGTGCAGAGTTAAGCTCCTCATCCTGCATTTCACCGTTATGAATGGTGTGGTGGTGTCAAAATAAAATGTCCTACCGTCAAACATAATTTTACACTACTTATCCGGAATGCAGTAGAGTTGTAGTAACCCACAATCTCGTCCACCACGGTCTCCTACATGTGACTATTAATGCGCAGACCTTCGCTTACGATGGCTTCACCGTTGTTAACTTCATCCACCAATATCGGAGGGCCGTCGTTGGCAGGTGGTAACCCATCGCCAGAGCTTTCAGAGTTGTGTGAGGGGCTCCAGATTGGTGAAGGTTCAACAAAGGTCTCCTCCACGATGTGGTTATCATTCAACCACTTTGTCATCTTGTCGATCAATGTTTTGTTGTTAGTGGCTAACTCTGTTTTAACTATCTCAATTACTTTGCTGAAGACACCATTCAGCGCCTCCCCAACTACAGTATGAATGAGAGTAAAGATGTCGGCAGCCCCCACCGTCTCAAGAATTGGTTTCTTGTGAAGACCGCCAAGTTTCCGGATTGTGGACTTGGCATTGTTCCCATGAGGATTTTTACTCCTACCAGCCTGCTTCGTGGGGGGTTTTCCAGAACCACGTGAATATTGCCCTTTCCAAGCGGTAGGACAATTCTTCCACTCCCAATGCATACAATCGATGTTTCTTACCATCTCGGGAAATCCGCGTTGCTCCCCAATATCAAGTAGTTGCTTAAGATCATGTGGTGTGGGTCTTCTTAGGAACTCATCGTCGAACAAAGATATTATTCCTTTGACAAAATTTTCTAAATATGAACGAGCAGTACTTGCACCGAGCCGAAGGTGTTCGTCAACTGCATCAGCCGCAGTACCATATGCCAAGAGACGAATTACTGCTGTACACTTTTGAGGTCCAGAGAGACCAGGCCTTCCGAGAGCATTTTTCTTTTGTCGATAAGAATCAAACTTCATTGGAGAGTCGATCAACAATATGCAAGAACAATGGCTTGTTCATTCTAAAACGTCGTCGGAATAAATTAGTAGAGTATGTTGCAGCTTCACTTAAATTTTCGTTCCATAAACGCATGTGACCTTCTTCGCGATCTCTATCGTAAAAACTCATTTTTTTTTGACTCAAATTGATACAAGAGTTTTGAGTTTCTTTCTCAATCACCCTTTGTACTAGTCATTGTAGTAAGGGTTTTATGTCAATCCAAAATGGGAAGATTGAAACAGCAGGAATGCAGTATATTCCTAATTCAAGCAGATATATAGAGAGTTTAGAAGTCTAACAACTTAAAGGATCAAACAGAAATGAAGCAAACACCAAACTAAGAGTGATCAGCAAGCAAAACAACTAAAACATAAGCAAAAACAAAGCAAATTCGAAATAGACTAAAAACAGAGGAAGGACATGACTTGAGATGGGGTAATTGGTGCTAGGGAACTCTCAACTCAACCTATGATGCTTACAAACTCACACAATGTTATTCCTTATGCATAGAATTCATTTATATGACTAATCCAATCTCTTGGTACTAATCTCTTTATTAATTACCAAGTTAAGAACTAATTCTCATTAGTGAAATGATAAACATCAAACATTAATACAATCTATCAATCATATATTGCTAAATCACCCCTATACAGTCAATCTCTTGAGCTAGGATAAGCAGTTCTCTTGCAAAGCAGATCAGGCATTTCATCAAATACTTGGTGGACATAAAATGAGCCTAAGATCCTAATCAACTTAGCTAAGGCTAATCAGGCATTAAACACAGTAATCAAGAAAGGAAATGGAAGAATTAACACTAAGCAATCATATATCAAACATCAAATTCCCTAAACCTAGCCCATCTCAAATCCCTAAGTCACTACTCACTAATGACCATTAAAACCATCAATTCAAAGAGAAAAAGATAGCAAATCATGACCAGAGAGATTAAACAAGAAGAAAAATGCAAACTTATATTCAAATGAAACAAAGATTCACGGTACAAAATCAAAACAAGAACAAAAAAGAAAAGAACTGCTGGATAAAGAGATTATCTCAAAAATTAGGGATTTTTAGTATTTATAGGAGTCCAAGCGGAGTGGCAAAATTATAAATAAATTGTCTTCAGTCTGGGTCAGCATCGATCACTCTTGAACGATGCGGATGATTAATGTGGGCTTCTTGTTCTTGACATCGATCAGATGATGATCGATGTGGTTGATCGATGTGATCTTCAAGGCTCTCAGGCCCATTACATCGATCAGTCTTGGTCGATGCTGATGATCGATGCAGGTGTCCTGTGGTTTGACATCGATCACTCTTGACTGATGTGAGTGATCGATGTGAACTTTGTTTCTTTCTGCTGCTTTACATCGATCACTCATGATCGATGTGGTCTCTGCTTTGATTGATGCTAAGTTAAATATCCATTTTCTTAACTCCTCTTGCTCCTCTTTGATTGGGGGAACTCCTTGGATCACTCCTACACTTCCTCCTTGTCTCAAATGGCTCCTTAAGCACCTAGAAACATTCTTTCATGCAAGAGAAATGCAAACTACAACCCTAAATGCAAGCTAAGTCTAAAAACAAGGAAGAATGGGACAAAAGCAAAAGAACAGCATGCAAAAGAGGACTAAAATATGAACTAAATGCAAGCTTATAGGATGCAATTATGAGAGATATCAACAGCCCCACACTTGCCTTTTGCTTGTCCTCAAGCAAATAAAAACAAATGGGAGAGTGAGATTTGAAAGTGGGAGCTCAAAACTAAAGATGCCAATGGAAAAATTGAATCAATGCTCAAGGTGTAGGTTCTAAGATGCAAAGAGATTGTTACATTTCAAAAACTTTAGCCATACCCATCATAGCAAACAATGCAATCTAGATTAGCCTACACAAGCATTCAAATCAGCCAACTCTTTAACATTCATTAATTATAACCAATGGATCAAGTTTATGCAAGTAAAGCGAACACATTTGGTTAAAGGGACATGGTTATGAGATGAAAATGATGTCATTCAGGTAAGGGTTCAAAGACATAAGGGATCACTCAATGAAATGATTCTATCTTAGGCAAAATGCTAAAGGTAAAAGCACACCTATGCATGCAAGTAAAAGATCTCTTCTACCCCTTTTTACCCCCAATATGAACCTATTATCTTCTAAACCCCAAAGTAAAACCCCTAGATCTATCCTTTCCCAAAGCACTTGATCTCTTCTTCCTTCATGTTTGGGGGAAACTTCTTCTTCTTTTTGCTTGTGTGGTTGATTCTTTGTTGGAACTTTCTCTTCTTTGTTGTATAATTGGCATCAATTTTTTTCACCTTTGGTGGATTGCTTGGTCTGAATTCTCCTTTTGGGATGAACTTTGTATACTTTGTTGTTGTTGTTGGCACCTTATTTTTTTTTTTAACACTTAGATCGTTTTCTTCCTTATACTTAACCACAAACTTAACCTGTTTCCCCATTACTACCATCCCCATACTTCTTCTTCTTTTTTTAAAAGATGTAAACAGTAAAACTCCAACCACTTATACTACCCTTTCCCAAACTCCTAGCCTAAAACCAAACTCAAGATGCAAGCTGGTGTCTACAAGAGAGCTTCTCCTTGCTAGCCTTATTCCTGACACTTTTTGCCAAGATATAATCGAAAATAATGCAATGCAAGGCCTCACAACTCTCACAATAGTGTTTAAGTTCATAAAGGAGGATTGGGTTAGTGTGTAGTTTTCTGTCCCATAATTATGAGGATCAGTTATTTGGGTTAACAAGAGTGGTAAGAAGGGAAGAAGATAACCCAAGTATGTATATGGGTAGCCATGTGATCACTCTCAATGCATAAACATGATAATTAAATGTCTACAATGCCATCAAACAACAGACAACCTAGCATTGAAAACAACTCAAACAATAACATCTTGACAAGTGTTTATCTTCTACTCCCTATGCAAATGTATGCAAACCTATTTAAAATGCATCTAGACTCAATCTTAGTATGCAAATGCAATTAAATGATCTTTTTGGTTCAAAACTTTTGAAAATTTTATGGATTTTCAGTGCATATAGATGAATGCATGAATGCATGAGACTCAAGTGTGCAAAAGAGAAAATAAGAAAATAAAACATAATGTCAAATGCAATACCCTCCCCTACACTTAGATTACACAGTCCTTTGTGTGATAGAAGCTTGAAGGAGGGTGATAAAGGATACTCAGAATGAATACAAAAGGATTCATAAAGAAAGGAGTGGAGTTTTGTACCTTAAAAGAGGTTTTGGCAGAGGGGAGGTTCACATCGTTCACCCATGATCGATGTAGGTGATCGATGTTAGTCTTGATTTTCTGGTCCCCTTCATATCGGTCAGCCATGATCAATGCTGCTGATCGATGTAATCTTCAAAACCTCCTGCCCATTTACATCGATCACTCCTTGATCGATGTAAGTGTCCGATGTTGTCCTGCTCAGTCGACATCAATCTCTCCTGATCGATGCTCCTGATCGATGCTGGCCAGGACATGTACCAATTCAGCTAACAACTTGCATAAAACTCCACTTGCTCCTAGAATCAAAACAAAAAACAAACACAAACATAAAATGAAATAATATGTACAAGGATAACAGGGGAATACCTCATAAGTGTGATTGTTTAACGTCTTTAGTTTGACTTTTCTTAGTTGATCACTCTTGTGGAGGATCTTCAAGTGATATCTACATCATTTTCAAGGGACTCACTTGCCATGTATGACTTCAGCCTGTGCCTATTCACTATGAAGTCTCCTCTATCTTTGTCTAACAAAGTCACACACTATAAGAAATATAGATATTGATAGCATATTAAGATAGCACGGTTTCTATAACTGCTATTAAAAATAGTATGCTATTATAGCATTTTTAAAATGCTATGCCCCATTTTTTACTAAACTGGAGTAAAAAATGACTTATTGAAACCTAATTTTTATCATGAACGCCAACACTTACAAAAAAAAATTACAATCAGCGATTGTGAATTTTCTTTAGAGGAAAAAAGAAAGCTTTAAAAAAAAATAGATCCATGTCCACCCTTCCAGAAAAAAAGCAGATCTCTCGCTACCCTCTTCACCTCTTTCTATCCTCGCTGAGACCGTAATTTTAACTTGACAAGCCTTACACGTTCTCCAGCGCTGGATTCAGTGACCGGAAATTCTCCGCAATCTTGCGATTGCCCTCTCTCCATCATATATCTTCTCTTACTTTTCCCTTAGTCAATTAGGGGTTTGGACGAAGAAGAAGAACGAGCGTCTCTCTCCTTATTGAGTGACCGGATAGTCTCCTCAATTTCGCGATGACACTGATGAAGATCGCTGCAAGAAATCAACAAATTTGGCCTTCTGATGGATCGATTAGGGAACTGATTCCGATTAAGACAGACATATTCTGCTACCTTGCTCCTTCGATTTTGTTTCATAGCTTGACCTCGTTTCTTATTGTGCATTTGATTAATTTGCTTTCCTTTTTCTAGGTTTTGTGTGTGTGTTTTAGAGTTTATCTGGGTCTTTGAATTCTGATGATTTCGACTCTGATATACTCGATTCTGATGATGATGGTTCACAGAGAGAAACTAAAGATGGAGACAGATTATCATCCGAAGACGAAGTCCATGGTAATTGCTTGCTTGTGTTTTGCCTCCAGTTTTGCTCATCGTCCTCAGTTGGAGATTTTAGGGTTCATGCTCTTGATGTGTGTGGAGATTAAAACTTTATTAACGATTCAATACTGAATAGTCTAATTTCGTTAGGTTTATGATGGCAATGAAAATAGTGAGGAACCTGGGAGTGATGAAGGTTCTGAGCAAAGTAAAGTCGCTGAAGAGAGTGATTCTTCAGAAAATGAGGTCTATGCTTTCTCTATTCGTTTTAGAATTTGAAACTATCTCTCACCAGTTACTGCACCTGGCTTTCTTTCTCCCACTGTTGTTTATATATCAATTCTAGGTACCTCATTCCAATGATTTTCATGATCTGGGTTCTATATTTTCTTCCTTTTTCTGATATTTAGCATTCTAGATCTCATGAAATGTTTGCATTTTCTTGTGTTTACAAATTTATTTAGAGTCTAGAATAAGAATGAAAATTGTAGCAAAGATAACAACTGGGAGTATCAAATTTGATATGGGGCTTATTAACTACTGTTAGTTCTCAACTTGTAAGTTCCAATCAAGTTTTTAGTTTTGGCTAAAATAAGTTAATGTGCTGCTCCTATTGTTGGCTGCACTCTCCTTCAGGTTTGACAAGAGAACGTCTCTGAGTTAGGTCAAGATTACCTATCAGGATGCAAGATCTCTTTTCTTTTTCTTTTTGTATTTATCTCTGCTGAAACTGGGATGTTCCAGTTCGATTGTGGATATTTAATTTGAATCATTTTTAATAGTTTGCTTTGTGATTTGTCTTATTATTTTGATGTAATGTTACTTGCGAGGCTTTGCCTCCTTAATAAAAAGGCTGTGGCCATCCATAACCATCTGGAGAGGAACTAGAAGGACAAGGAAAGAGGAACCGCTAAGTTGTCTCTGAACCTTATGGAATGGTTGTTTGTCAACATGAATTGGTTCACGTCCTGTTATCAGAGACTTTACGCAGCAGATTAGTCAGGTTAGACTACTGTTTTCAAATCAAGACGTGCAATCGTTTGACTAATCAATTCATTCTCTCTTGTCCACCTAACTAACTAGATTGCTGTGATTTGAGTATATGATTACTATAGGGGTAGAGGTGTGTGTTGGCAAGGAATGCGACAATGTCTATGTTTTAGGTCATAATGGTACCGTTTTGTATAATTGTATAAGAATTAATGTTAGTATAAGATTTGATGTTTTGTAAGACTTGATGTATTGTAACACTTGTTTTGGTATGATATTTGTGTGTTAGACATGTTTTAAATGATTAATAAAATAATCTTCGAGACCAAATTTTAAATATATATATATATATATATTTTTATAAATTTAATTGATGTATGCTATAAAACAGGGTTTATAAGTGCTATGACTTATATAACCTAAAAAATAAAATAGCTACAAAACATTATATCATAGCTTAAAAAATGAGCTACAATAGACTAGATTATAGCATTTCATTTACGCTATGATAGAACAACATATAATAGCAAAAATATCAAATGTTATTGCATATGGTCATTCTATTATAGCTCTGACTGACATAGCGTTTATGAAAATGCTATGATATCTATATGATAGTGATTTTGGTGTGCTAAGAATGCCTATATTTCTTGTAGTGTGTACAGTTCCATATGCATTTCTTTATCTTGAATGGTCATGATCACCTTGATTTCAGCTTTTCAAGAAACAACTTCAGCTTTGAGTTGAACAACAACACCTGATTTTCTGCCTTGAAGTCTTTGGGTTTTATCCTCTTGTCATGAAAAACTTTTGTCATTTCTTTATATTCTTTATAGATCTCTAGAACTCTCAAAAGCTTCAAGGCAGTTTTCTTCTAACTCATGCAAGTTGATGAGTCTCTTCTCCTGAACTGTCTTGATGTCAAAATTCGATAGATTTGTTGCTCACAAGGCTTTATACTCCAGCTCAACAGACAGATGATAAGTTTTGCTATAAAGGAATGAGAAAGGAGTCCTACCGATGGATATCTTGAAGGCTGTCCTGTAGGCCCACAAAGCATTATCAAGCTTATTAGACCATTCCTTTATTGTAAGACCAACAGTCTTTTCTAAGATGGCTTTGATCTCCCTGTTAGACACATCCACTTGACCACTTGTTTGAGGATGGTAAGGAGTGACAACTTTATGTTTAACACCATTCTTCTTTAGCAAACTCTCAAAGATCTTGTTGATGAAGTGACTCCCTCCATCACTTATAACACATCTTGGAACACCAAACCTTGGGAAGATGTTGTCTTGAAAAGTTTCAGCATAATTCTAGCATCATTTGTTGGACTGGCAATGACTTCAACCCACTTTGAGACATAATCTACAACAACAAGGATGTACTTATTCCCATAGGATGAAGGGAAATGTCTTTTAAAATCAATCCCCCCACACATCAAACAGATCCACTTTAAGAATATAGTTTAGAGGCTGCTCTTCTGGTAGTGTATCATTGATTGGGACGAAATTTCCAGAGGCTACACCATTTTCAATGCCTCTCTTATCCATAATCTCCATGTTAAACTCTTGCAAGAGGAGGATCCATCTAAGGAGTCTTGGCTTGGTGTCTTTCTTAGCATAGATGTGTCTTAGTGCAACATGATCAGTGTAGACTATCACGTTAGACCCCACTAAGTAGCTTCTCAACTTCTCAAATGCAAAGACAACTGCTAGGAGCTCATTTTCTGTTGTAACATATCTTGTTTGAGCCCCATCCATTGTTCTGCTGGCATAGTAAATAACATGAATCTTCTTGTCTACACTTCGACCCAAAACTGCTCTAACTGCATAATCACTTGCATCACACATGATCTCAAAGGGGAGATACCAGTTTGGTGCTTGTACTATAGGCGCACTCACTAAGGCTTCTTTGAGGGTGAGGAAAGCTTGTAAGCAGTCTTCATCAAAGATAAATTCTGTCTCCTTGCATAGAAGCCTTGTCAATGGTTTTGCTATCTGTGAGAAGTCCTTGATAAACCTCCTATAGAAACCAGCATGCCCCAAGAAGCTTCTGTTTCCTTGACTGAATTCGGAGGCTCTAAGTGCAGCATCACATATATCTTGGCTTTGTCCACTTCTATTCCCTTCTCTGAAATTTTGTGACCTAACACAAGGCCTTCCTGAACCATGAAATGACATTTCTCCCAATTCAGAACCAGTTTAGTGTCTTCAAACCTCTGTAAAAGCTGAGAAAGATTAGACAAGCAGACACCAAATAAGGATCCATAGAGACTAAAGTCATCTATGAATACCTCCACCATCTCTTCAAGCAAATCAGAAAAGATATAAGTCATGCATCTTTGAAAAGTGGCAGGAGCATTGCATAAACCAAAAGGCATTCACCTATAAGCAAATGTGCCATAAGAGCAAGTAAAAGTAGTTTTATCTTGATCATTTGAATGGATAGGGATTTGAAAGAAACCACTATAGTCATCTAAGAAGCAATAATACTTATGATTTGATAATCTTTCTAACATTTGGTCTATAAATGGCAAAGGAAAGTGATCTTTTCTAGAAGCAGAATTCAGTTTTCCGTAATCTATGCACATCATATGACCAGTTATTGTTCTAGTGGGTATTATCTCATCATTTTCATTTTTTACCATAGTGATACCTCCTTTCTTAGGCACCACATGGACTGGTGAGACCCATGTACTGTATTAGATAGGATAGATCACTCCAGCTTCAAGCAACTTCAAGATTTCTTTTTTAACTACTTCTTTCAGATTAGGATTCAATCTCCTTTGAGGTTCAACATAATTTTTTGTCTCATCCTCTAGATAGATCCTATGAGTGCAGAGGTTTGGAGAAATATCTTGGATATCATCTAATGAATATCCAATGGCTCTCCTAAACCTCTTTAACACTTTGACAAGAGCAAGGATCTCATCATTACTGAGGTTATCATTGACAATTACAGGATCAGTAGAGTTAGAGCCTAAAAAGACATACCTTAGCCCTTTAGGAAGAGGTTTGAGCTCCACTTTGGGTGCCTAGAGCTCACTCCAGTCCTCTCCTAAGCTGCTCTGCTCCTTCGCCAACTTCATTGCTTAGAGAGCCAGCTTCTTGAATTGAGAGCACCTTTGTCCTTGTGTACTCCAGCTTCTCAAATGGTTCCTCTTCTTTCAAGACCTTGTGAGAGTCTAGCCTTAGCTTATAACCTAAGCTTTCCTTATTCAAGTAACCATCTTCTCCATGCTCCTTTGTCAAAGCCACTTGGAGTTCACAACACAACTCCTCTTGAAGCTCATTATGCAGCCTTTCTAAGATATCTATCTTGAACACTTGACCTTGTATTGTGGGTTGTTGCATAATCTGCTTGATGTCAAATTCCAGGGACATGTCTTTACCCAAATGAAACTCAATCTTCCCTTTCTTGACATCTATAACAGCTCCTGTTGTGGCTAAGAAGGGTCTTTCTAGTATGAGAGGATCTCTGGGCTCTTCATCTATCTCTAGGACTACAAAGTCACTTGGGATCTCCACATTTCCTATTCTGATTGGCACATCTTCAAACAGTCCCTTAGGGAGTTTCACTGATCTATCAGCCAACACCAAATATATTCTGCAGTCCTTGAATTTAGTGAACCCAAGGCGCCTAGCTATATAGTAAGGCATTAGGCTTACACTTGCTCCTAAGTCACACAAACATTTCTCAAACAGTAGTGGACCTATATAGCAGGGCAACGTAAAGCTTCCTGGGTCACTGAGCTTGTTAGGTGTCACCATTTGTTGTTGAATGATGGTGCTGCACTCATGTGTTAGTACCATCATCCCTTGCAGATTCTTTGTTCTCTCAACCAAAGCATCTTTCAAGAAATTTTGGTAAGGTGGAACCAAGACGAAAGCATCTAGCAATGACATAGTGAGCTGAATCTTCTTCATCTGCTCATCAAAGAGGCCTTTATACTTAGCAATGAGTTGCTTCTTAAACCTTCTAGGAAATGGTATTGTAGGCTGATATGGTGGAGGAATGTATCTTGGTTCTTTGACTAACTCCTTAGGTGCTTCTCTTGGTTTCTCCTTAACCACCTCTTTGGCTTTGGTGTTCTTTGAACCCTTATCAGCTTCAACCACTTCATCCTCTTTAGCTTCTTCAGCATCTTTGACCACAACCCCCTCTTCTTGTTCCTCAATGTCTACATTGGGTGTAGAAGGTGCAACTCTTGAAGGGAGTTGCTTCCCACTTCTTAAGGTGACAGCTTTGACATACTCTTGTGCAAGTGAAGAAGAAGATGATTGTGCAAGAGTCTCTTGTATACCCAGTCTCCGAATGAAAGATTCAAGGCTCTTTTGGATGTCAGAAGTCATGTTGTTCTTGACTTCAGTTATGTTGGTGTTAATGGCAGCCATACTGCTCTGAAATTCTGCAGATTGGAGTTGTTACATTTGAAGCAGAAGTTGCTTTGTGTCCAAATCTTGTGAAAGCTGAGAGTTGTTGGCGCCAACTATTTGAGAAGAAGAACCTTGATGTTGTTTAATGTAAGTGTCTCCATTAGACTGTTGTTGACAAATATCATGAACTTGTTTCATTGCTGGCTCCTCTTGTATCTGAACAGCTTTGACTTGATGCTCTTTGTAGTGGCTGTGTGGAGCAACATTAGGAAGTGGTTTGGTGGTGCCATTGAGCAACATATCTATTTTTTTCTACAAGGCCTTCATCTCATGCAATGATGTCTTTAGCTTCTCTTCAGTTGTCTTTGCATGTTGCTCTTTATCATCCACATAGTCCCAATTACTGAGCACCATGTTCTCTACTAGTAGCCATCCTTCATCAACATCTTTGCCAAGGAAATAGCCATTGCTTGCTGTATCTAGAAAGACTCTTATGGTTGGGAAAACACCTCTATAGAGTGTGGATAGCAGCATTTCTTTGGTGAAGCCATGGTGAGGGCATTGATGAATGAAGCCTCTAAACTTTTCCAAAGTGTCTCCAAAGCTCTCATGAGACCACTATTTGAAGTTTTTTTTTATCTCATTCCTGAATTGTGCAGTTCTTAAGGGAGAGAAGAACTTGGTTAAGAAAGCACCTTTGCATTGTACCCAAGTGGTGATGCTGCCTTGTGCTAAAGACTTTTTCCACATTTGAGCTCTATCACCAAGAGAGAATGAGAATAATCTGAGCTTCAAACCATCATCTAAAAATCCACTAAGCTTTGTCAAAGCACAAATCCTCTCAAAGTGATCCAAGTGCTCAAGAGGGTCTTGGTTAGGCAATCCAAAGAACTTCCCTTCTTGAACTATAGCAATCAAGCTTCTCTTTATCTCATAATGGTGAGTCTCTAT